TCAGACAAGCGAGGGTTTGTCTCTTCCGTCTCCGATGTCCCTGCTCCAACTTCTTCCGAAACACAAATGAACCCGGGCCAGAGGGTCGATTATACCCTTGGACAGCATTATGGGTCACTATTATCTACTGGGTGCCGCGGTTACGCCCTTTGGAAACCTTCACCTCGCTGTACCGGCACTGGGAAAGAGCATATCATCAGTATCGGCGACGTTGGAGTTTGCTACGACATCGATCCCTTCCGTACGTTTTTCAACATTACGAAGGATCTTGGTGGTATTGCCGGAGTGCAGCCACCCGACGGTGTCGATCCACCTTGTATCATCCAGAGAAACGATATGACAGTCGATCCAAGATTTCACGAAGAGTATAGGCTTCTCGTACAACCAAAAGCATCCATTCTACAGCGTTCCCTCGTATCAGCACACGTCAACAAGATTTTTACCCTCAAGCTTTCTGCCAAGCCAGGTGCCTTGCTGATGCTTCCGCATGGTGCCGTCTTGAGAAAGCTCGAGAAGACGAGCGAGTTCAAAAGACGTATCTTGCGTTATTGGCGCGAATGGTACGAGTTCGCCGATGAAGAAGGAGACCTTGATGAAACCCAAACCTTGTGCCTCGTGACTGGCGTTGAACAGTGTTCTACGTGGGCAATGGCTGTTTGGGACTCAACTTCAACCAACTCTAATGCCGACCTAGACTCTCTGGTGCTTGCTGTAGCCGAGTCAAGCGGTTGCTGCTCCTGGCAATCCTTCCCTCTACGAGCCACAGTCCAGTCATCTGCACCGATTCCTCTGGGCGTGGTTGACGAGGAGCTAAAAGAGACTGTGTTCATCCGTGCATTTTGGATCAGCAGGAGCAACGGCAGCTCAGTTCGACGTCCCTTTCCTCCCCCACCCGACGAAAACGGCAACAGTGACGAGGATTTTACAAAACGTCGAGGGACTTCACGAGGCCCGTCTAGTAATCCTCGTGCACCAAATTCACGTAGTGTGACCTCGCAAAACCCATTAAATCCCTCCCGCAATGAGTCGTCGTCAGACTCTTCCTATCCAGCCCCAGTCGACTACCACGATCTCCCTATCTCACCAGAATCTCGGACGAGCTATAGTAGTGTATCCTCTTCGGAGAAAGACCCAATCAATGGGCCGAACATCATCGACCTTTCCCAGGCCGCTTTTAGCACAGTGTGTACTCTCGAACTCTCATTAACAGCATTTATTCGAGTGCTCAAGAGGTATTACTTGTTAGGTCTCTCATCCGTGTCAATCCATCAACATGTTGGCTTTTGAGATCGTTTCGAAGGCGAAGCCATCCATGTTGGATGTTGGTTGCGTGGCGTTCTCACACGATGAGGACTGGATGAGTGTTTTACGGGAAGTAAGTCTCATTCTTTGTACTCATACGTGTTTGACATGCTCAATGTGACCCTTGTACAGCTTAACGAGCCTCAAATTCCGGAAGGAAACGAGCTTCTGAAGAAGATTTGTGAGAAGTTCAAGTTTGTTGCTGATGGCGGTGGGTCATAGCTTTGCAGGTAGACCACAAAACTGGGGAGTCACAATAACGTTGCTATACTATAGATGTCATCCACACCGAACGAATGTCCTCCGCCGAGTACGAGTTCATACGACAGAGCCCCGGACTAGCATCCGATAAGGTTGACCTCATTCCTGTGTTGTTTCATCTTCGGGAACCAGATGCTTCGCCCGAGCCCGAGCTGCAGAGAACGTCAACAACCACTACACATGTCATCCACACCGAACAAATGTCCTCCGCCGAACACGGGTTTGTACGACAGAGCCCCGGATTAGCATCCGATAAGGTGTTGTTTCATCTCCGGGAACCAGACGCTTCTCCCGAGCCCGAGCTGGAGAGAATGTCAACAACTACAGCAAAATTCCGCATTGATAATACTCCTCCTCAGTTAAGCTCTAAGCGGGTCCTTATGGCCTGTACCGAATGTCGCAAGCGTAAAGTCAGGGTGAGTCATCGGCGTTGTCTGAAGGTCTTACGAAGGACTTGATGCTCTACAGTGCAACCCTGATCGCTCTGGAGTGACTCGTCCATGCGAACGATGTAGTAGAAACAGACAACGGTGTCGATACGAGCCTATCAATGTCGACCCAGAACTTGATTCGGGAGAAGGAATCAAATTATATGACCCATATGCCCAAAGCCCTCCCGCACATTATCCTTCTCCTCAAAGGGCCATAGCCTGCACCGAATGTCACAAGCGTAAAGTCAGGGTGAGTCAATATTGTTGTCTGAAAGTCTTACAGAGGACTTATTGTTTTGCAGTGCAACCCCGGTCGTTCTGGCGCGACTGCTTGCGAACAATGTCAGAGCAACGGATTAGAGTGCCGAAACGCGCCGATCTTCCCTAATCGCTCTATAATGGCGGGTGGGGCTTCTCATCGGCCATCGGACTACACCATGGTCCCCTCCAGATCTAGCCCCAATGCTGCTCCGGTTCGATTGAAGTCCGTCTCGCCCCCCTCTACCGTGTTTGCTCCAAAATTGAAGTCTTCTTTTCTAGTGACGGTCGTATCTGTTATGGAACCCCATCGTGCTTTTGCGGTCATCATCGCAAGCAATGATATTGTGTACCTATCCTTGGAGGACAATCCCCGAATTCAACTTTCCGAACGAACATATAAAAACAGAACCTAAAATACCCAACTCCGAACACACGAGTGTATACTTTGTTGACCCAACCCACAAATCGTACCAGTAACCCATTTCTCAGAGATCCGATAAAGTATTGTCTGCGCCTGTGAGGCTAGATATGAACTGGTAAGACAGCTATGTTTCACAAGCGCGGGTAATTTCCGAAGAATCTGCTTAATCCTCAATCCCTTTGTCATACTGTAGTTCTCCGTTCACAATAACATCCACACTGCCGAACTCTAAATGAGGCAAACTCCATTCCTCGTCCATTCTCTCGATCTTGGAAATCGGTATGACAGGATTGGGAGATGGCATAGCGATCAAAAGCGACACTCTGAGGTTGGTATTGGATGTTGAAGTGTCATGCGTTGGAGGTACCGGGGGTGGATGTGTACGACTCGCCGAATTTAAAATGGGCATAATCGACCGCCAACGGTGTGATGAGGGTGGCGAGATATTCGTTCCAGGGTCACTTTCTACTCGCTCAGTTGAGATAGGCTTAGTAGTCACGATAAGGTTCAAACAACAAAGGTGAGGTTCAGAATAGCCAGTAGAAAGGACGATCGCGGGGAAGTAACATACCATGAGATCTGTCCATCTGAAACCTCTTGTTGATTGCCCAAATCCACCTTCCAAGTCCTTTTCACTTTCCGGCACCCGAGAGTACCAAACGTCGAGCGAAGCCTCCCAAAACACAGGTTTCGGACCTAGTTCAACGAATTTTGTGCCTCGTCCCCTCGTTTGATGACGATGGCGTATAAAGGTACCATTCCGAATAGCCTGTACCATGGCTTGGCGCCGTCGTTGGCGGTTTATACGCGTTCGAATGATTACTATGGAGGATGCCACGAGTAGGAGTGAGAGTATCGCTATGAACGTGTATACTGGAACAAGACGTGGATTTAGGTCAGATCTGAATCGAGCACATAGAAAGCGAAACTGACGGTATAAAGGTGCATTCGTATCACCAAAACTTGTGTTTCCTCTCCCGTTCCATACGGTGCCGCCGCTGCTACTCGTAGTTGTAGTTGTAGTTGTAGAGGAAGAAAACAAGTCGACAAAAGTCTGCGAGACTGAGAAAGTAGTATTCAGTTCGTCCGTTGCCATTTGGTGAAGGGGATGGTGGTGGTGGGTGGTCAACGTTCAACGTTCAACGCAGGAGAATGCCTAGCTTGGCTGCAACAGCATTATCGCTCGTCGGATTCAGTCGATACATCTCGTGGTCCACTGCGCAAGTGGACGTTGTTCTGGTGTTTTCTTGGCTTTGTCGTGGCAGTCGTAGTCCAAGGGATTTCAAGCTGTAGAGGTAACGAGAACGATACGTAGAAAGTACTAGGCGAGAGAGAGAGCATACCTGTGGATTCAGAGAGGGCTTGAGGAAAAGTCGCGGGTGTTCGATGCACCAGCTTGTAGATCGTGGTTCAGGTCAGAGAAGCGAACAAAATAAGACGCATCGTTCCGCTCGGTGACGTCGATCCGAGTGTCGGAAATTTTAATTCCTACTGATAAGGAATATATTGGTTATCGCCGGTGATAAGGGTGTCGTGAGCCCCATAAGTCTCCGTAAGATCACCCCAAATGGGCCTTTGCCGATTGTAAGGGTGCCGCGAGCACCGTAAGCGTCCGTAAGATCACCCCAAATGCCGATTACAGGCTTATAATGATAAACGTTTTATGTTATTATAACGGCCAGGTGTAGTGTTGCCATCGGTTGGTTTGAGTTTGAACCGGTCCGCAAACCGCGTGGTCCGGTTTCCGGCGGTTTACAAACCGCCAAAAAATGGCCGGTTTGGGTTCAAACCGGTTCAACCCGGTTCACCGTGGTTTAAACCACTGAAATATAGTTTTTTTTTTTCGAAAAATAAAAGTGTATAAAGTAAGTAGAGGATAGCAGCCTGAGGTCCCAGGTCAAGTCAAACCCTGACTTGATGTCACGATGTCAAATACCCGTGCTCACCGGCGCCAAAAATCTTCCATGGGAGATTTTTAGCGCCGGCGAGCACACAACTTTGTACTTACGTAATTTTCCCCAAAACACAATTTTTAATGAATTTGTGCGCCTCGTCTAGGGCTTCAATTTGGTATACAAAGTGTTACAAATAGGTGCAAACTCATTGAGAAAAACACAAAATACTTTTCTGGAGCCGGCAAAAAAAAGTTCAAGTGTCCCAAATTTTACACTACATTGGTACTATGAGCCTCAATATAATATGTTAACATGTTATTCAAATATTATCACATGCTACTGTACTGAGAGTAAGGCTCCCAGCAATACAAATATATGAAAAAAATTTTACCTATTCAATTCCGGTTCAAACCAACCGACAACGTCACTAGCCAGGTGGTCAAGTGGTAAGACACCCGTGCTAAATACTGTATTCGTCCTAAGCTCGACGCAGAAGGATCGGGTTTGAATCCCGACCTGGCTAGTAACATGGAGATACACGATTGTTTTTTTCTTTTTGAGACATTTCCTGCGTCAGAATTGGAATCGAGACGCATCGTGCGTGATAGCAATGGTATCGTGAGGAGGCGCGCGAGTGTCTTAGGCTGTCTCGTTGAGGATGTGTTGTGCCCAAACATTCGCGCAATGAGAACCGTCGAAACTAATAGCTTGGCGCGGCACCCCACTCATAGTAATCAAAAGCTTTGAACACATTGTTTGCAACTAAACACAAGGTAAAAACGTTGGAAGTACACTACTTGAATTCGAAGTGATGTACTTGACAAGAAAAAGAGAAAACGTAATGAAGATTAATATGTGATATTCAAGTCTAATTCTTGTTTCGTTGACTGGTACGAACTGGTTTTGGTCTCGGGGGTGGGGCTTCTTGGACAGCGCCAGGGGCATCCGATGAGCTAGCAGCTTTGCCACGCCCACCACGCCCACGACCCCGTTTACCGTGAGCACGACCATGACCCCGACTTGTGCTGGTAACAGTGCCTGGTTCATCCTCGGAAGCAGGTCGAGGTGACACAGAACGCGAACGTCCGACTGCGAGCACCATGTCTTCAAAAGTCGTAGCTTGCTCCGCAGAAGCAGGGAGTGCAGGTTGCTCCTGAGAAGCTGGGGGCAAAGGAATGTTGGCATGAGGAGGATTGCAAGTAACTTGGAGGGTTGCTTCGGTGACTGGGGTTGCGTTCCCAGCGCTAGGAGTGGTGGCGGCGGGAGGGGTTTCTGTGTCTGACTTAGACGAAGGGAAGGCAAAGACAGACCACGAGGACGTACCGAGTGTTAGCTGGAGCATTGCCTGGGTCACCGCATTATCATGAGCTTCTGCTTCCGTCCTTTTCTCAGACTCTCCTGCATTCCGTAGACCCTTGAAGACGCGTTCGTTATAATATTTGAACAAGGCTGTCGCCCATGGGGAGGAAGCACTGACAGCAACCTCGATCAACTGCTGGAAGGCGGTGAAGTTCTTCCAGTAGTCAAGCTTGGTCTTCTGGCCCACGGGTTCCAAGGTTTCATCTCCACTGAGAAGATATTGAAGCTATGATATGTTTGAATTAGCTGTTACGCTGGTATAGTGAGGGTAGCTCACAATCATCGCGGAGAATGCTATGGCCGAGCCATTGATCCGCCGAATACCCCACGCGTTTCCGAGAAGGGTGGCTCGGTTGACCCCCCCTCCGTCGAGCGATCCCGGACCAAAGTAGATGCACCTCAGTATCTGATAGTAACAAAACGTCAGCAGCGCCGGTCTTTGAGAACGCACTATCGTACCTTTGGTTGGATCTCATTCATGAAAAGAAGGCTGGTATTGAACTTTTGGTCGGGGAAAAGGATGGCGGAGAAGAGTTTTGCAGTTGTACCATCGGGGGGAGCGAGCAAGGAGCCCAGAATCTCGTTATCCGCCCGTTGCTGGAAGCAGTTCTGGGCCCATAGACCGAGCGGAATAGAGACGCTGAAGTCACGAAAGATACTCCCGATCGCTTTGCGTAGGACGTTAAGGGAAGTTGAACGTTGAGCATTGACCTCGGAGATGAACTATGACCTGTTCAGCGAACGAGACAATGGAAGAACAAGACCAAACACACCTCGTTCTTGAATGTAGTATTCTCAGCAGCCAGAGTACGAACAGTATCGTTCCCGAGGAAGCGGTGTAAGTGGACGATGGTCCCGGCAACATAAGTCTCGGGTGTTTGGAATCGAGCCAGGGACTGAGGATCCGGCATCGTCGAGTCTGGGTATCGCCCAAACGCTTCTGGGCTAATCCAGGGACCCCCGTTCACACACCAGCTCTTGCCAAAACAAAGCACAACGTCCCTTGCAAAGGGAGCATTGCGTCGTTCTGGCGCCTTTCCCTTGCGCCCGCGACGGGAGCCTCTAATAATCATCTGGGTCTTGAGGTCGGCCTTCTCAACCAAAACCTCTTGCAGTTTTGATCGTAGAAGTTCGTTATGCTGCTGCAAATCATTGATGATCTGGTGGGAGTTTTTGAATAAGAGTTATAGTACTGATGAACAGAAATACGTACCTGACGAGATCGCGCATCAGTGAGTTGTCCGGCTTGAGGGAGGTCGAACTTGAGTCGTGGAACAACAATATCGACGTTGAGTTCTTCCTCTTCCTCTTCTTCTTCCGGGTCACCGTCACCATCAGCGGGAGCAGCGGCAGAAGGAGGAGGTTGCGTGGGAGTCTGAGAGGGGGTATTAGCTTGAGACATTGCAAGGAGAGACTTGGGTGGGGAATCTGGGAA